TAGGGTTCAAGAAATCAGGAGTACAAAATCTGAAACCGTAAGAGTGGGATCTCATGCTCTGCTCATCAAAATATGTTCTTGTCAGCATCACTGCTCATATTAAAAGACAATTTCACCAAATGGTTTCAGGACCCAGGAAGCATATTGAACATTTCAGTGGTATCAGTAATGATTTTTTTTTTTTTACGTCAGTCTTATTTGGATCAATATGATCTCTTGGAGGACAGGTGGTGAGGAGGAGGAAAGTGTGCAAATTTAAAAATGGAACTTGACAAGTTACTAGAAGAATTACATGATGACTTCACATGTTGATTGCTTCTCACCTAAATGTAGGTGACTACATTGAGATAGTCCCTCTTGATTCTCTTTAGTTTTAGTGGAGAGATATAAACATTTTTATGGGCTGAATCATGTCATCCTAATGTAGATGTGAAAAATAAGTTAGATTAACTATGCCCTGAAAATGCTTATTTTTCTCCATTGATTACAAAGGGAGCCCAAGGGAAGAAGTTCAGAAACAGGTATCTCCACTGTAATCTTCTAAGAGATGAATTTCCAGCCCAGGAGACAACTGTCCTCTATCCCAGTGGACAGGAATAATAATAGGGGAGGAATAAAGGAGAGAAAGAGAACCGGTGTGGCTGAAGAAATTAAGAATAACTGAAAACAGCATATAACAATGTAGAAAACGTACACTCAGCTATATTAGAGATGTGGAGTGAAGGCTATGGAAAGGGAAATAACATGGAAAAAGAGTACAAGACTTGGTTATATTGCCAAACATGTTTATTTAGTAGGCTGACGAGTACCAAAATTACAATTCTATCTGCAAGAATATTTTATTTTGTATGGATGTACAATGAGAAGTATTGTCCATCTCTACAGCCACACACATTAGATAGAACTAAACATGCAAATACACACGTGTTCTTACAGGTAAAAGAAACATTAATTTATATTTAATTTGTGTTGCAACAGCACCTTGCCATTCAAATGGAAATCAGGGTCTCATGGTGCTGTGTTAGCTGTTATATATAGAAAGGAAAATAGCAGAGAGAATGAAGAGAGTTGACACAATGCACTAAAAATATCACCTTCTGCTAATGTATTCTTTGGCAGAGCACCAAGGTTAATATTAGGCCTTCTGCCAAAAGTCAAAGGGTCCCAAGTCCTCCCTACTCTTTGAAGTGATACTGAGTTAATGTGCCCAATTCTCAGCTCTCACTGATTTTATGCTGGCTTTAAGGCCAATGGGGAGATGCCTTGCCAGTTCCCACCTTCTGAAGTGCTTCCTACTGGGTTCTTACACAGCTCGTAATGTTATGGTTATAGGTATAGCTATACAAATGCATCCTGAAATTCTTAAAAGCATCTAGTGGTTTTGATTGACTTGGTGTGCCTTCAGGATACTTGACCATCCAGCAGTTTTTGTTGAGCACATGTAAACTTTAACACTTCAAAAGTTTAGAATAGTTGCTTTTGAAAATTCAGAACACATTTGACATTTCAAATAGAAAGACAGGCTGATTTATTTTATTATTTCCATATACAAAGTTGTATTTAATTTTGTAGTGTGTTGGACAAAGTTACTCCCCTCCCAAATTATAAATGATAAAAGCATTGGTTTCTGTAAGTTAAATCACTTTTAGAGATCAGAAGTTGCTCAGCCTCTCACAGCAACACTGGGTGCAGTTATGTAAGAAGACAAGCATGTTGATTCATACCAATTATACTATGCATTACTTGGAAGAGCCTTCACAAATTTCCCCCTCCCCCTCCAAAAACAAATTTAAACGTGGGAAAGAGGCTTCTGTGTGCTATGAAACAATCTTTCTGTGGTAAGGTTGGCAAAATTCCCACTGTTTAAGGAGTGAATGAGCAATCTCTAAAAGCACCAGTCCTACCCATTCTCCCTTTCTCTCCTGCTGAGCATAATACTTACCAGCATAAAGGCTAATGGGTCATTTTATTTCACTCCTTTCTTGCGCCTCATTATATAACAGCATTAAAATAGATTTGCTTTTGATCATGCTTTAATTTTAAGGAGAGTGATGCATAATTACATTGTTTGCAATTATCAGATTTCTCTGTAAAGCCTAGGACAGAATAGAGTTGATAAATCCTGGAAATATGCTAAAGTCTTGTTTTGCTTTCTGAAGGAAAGATTACTATTTGTACTAGAGAAGTGGGCAGAGCTGCTTAATTTATTCTGCATACACCTGGGGCTTATCTGAAGTCCCAAACTCTCATCCTTATCCAAGAAAATCTCTCATTAGCTTCTTCAAACAGAATTGAGTGTTCATGGTGCTATAGCTCTTTCTTTTTTCTTCGGTCACCTGAACCACCTGTCTCTTGTCACAACCGTTCCACTAGCTTCATCTTGTCCCTCTCTGACACCCCTTATTACAAGTCTAATGCCTTTCATGCCATTTTTCTTCACCATTTCACTTTCTACCACATCCGCCCCCCTTGCGAGTACAAACATGTTGTTTCTGGTTTGCTCAGGAAGTAAAACCTGTAAGTCCACCTGCTTGTCCATCTTCTCTCCTTGGAGGCTAAGGGCTCCCAAGCACTGTCTTAGCTTTCCACCACCTCCCCATTCCCTCCATCACTCCACCCACATCAGTTTGCAGTCCTCTTCTGCTCTGGTCCCTCCTTAAGAAATTTTCTCTGAAAAGACCTCTGTGGACATTTACCAAACTATCCTCTTCCAGCTTCATCCCCGAGAGTCATCTCCCCCGATCGAAAACTAAGAACTGGCAATTTAAAAGGTATTTAACTTTATGAAGATGATGCAGAAGGAACTCCCTGCTCTTCTTCATGGTACTTATCAAAGGTGAAGAGATCCTTGGGACAGGGTCAGTGACATCGCCTTAAGGATGATCCTGGGAGGAGATCAGTTAGTAGGTATTTGAATAAGACCACCACGTCCTATTCAAACAGTCCTAGGACGCCACAGAGCACTTTGATCAGTATCTTGAAACTTTTCCAGTCCAAACCCTCCCCTCTGCTGCCGTTTGAACGAAGGAAGCGGTTCAGAAGAGAACCCCTTTTTTTGCTTCCCCCCTCGGCCGGCATTTGATGCCTCGGGCCGGCCGCGCTCTCCAGCAAAAGCCCGTTCCCTGGGCGCTCGTCCCCCCCCACCCAGAGCCCAGGCGCGAATCCCTCCGGGAACGCGCCTTCCCCCGCTCCGAGGGGGCGCCGGGGGAGCTCCCTCCCCCGCCGCGGCGGGGGTGCGCCCAGCTCCGCTCCGCCCGGAGCAGCAGCGCTCGCCCCCGGCCCGGCGCTGCTCGGCGGCCACGGCCCCCGCTCGGGGAACGGAGGAGCTCCGGCTCCCGGCGCTGCTGGCTACCGGGGAGCGCCGCCTTCCCCGGCTTTAACCACCCCGGTACGGCTCTGCTACTCCCGGTAACGGCTCGGTTCCCTTGGACGTAGAGCCCCCGTACAAGCCAAAGGAGCGCGCCCCGTGCCCCGAGCAGCTCCCTCCCCGTTTCTTCCCGTGCTAACCCAAACCACGCTTTCAGGCCTCAAGTTCGGCGCTGCTCCGGGGGGGTGCGATCGCTCAGCCCCGCGTAAACGGGACCCGCCGGCCCCCCTCGCACGCAGTTAGACGTGTAATGATTAGGGAGAGGGAGCCTCACCCCTCTACAAACTGCTTCTGTTCCTAACCATCGTTTAATTTAGAACAAGGGCGAACGAGTGGCTACTTCCAGGTAGCAGGAGGTCTAGCACCCATTCAAAAAAACCCAACAACAAAAAAAAAAAACAAAAAAACAAAACCCCGCCACAAACAAACCAAAACCACCTGCGAGAAACAAGTCAGCAGTTCTCCCTCCTTCCCCTTTGTGAAGCAGCACCCCGCTGCCTCTTGGGCGTGGAGCTGGACCGGGACGACCCAGCTGAGAGCGCAGGGGCCGTTGTGATGTTGTGACCCGACTTCACTCAGCTCTCGGCAAAGTTCTGTCCCCCCCGACCTGCGTGCGCACCGCAAAACGACGGCGTTCAAGACCCGATGAAGGGAGCAGTTTCGGGAAGTGCTTGGCGCTACGAGAATTTTAGTAGGTACACCGCTATTTCGGGGGTAGCACCTTGTACTGCACCAATACCCGACAGCCGGCCGAGTGCAGGTATGCGAGCAGCAGCCGAACTCTGAGCATCAGGTAACAACCGGCAGCATCAACGGGGCGGGGGGAAGAGACTATCCGCATGCAGCGGGACATACGGGAATCGGGTAAGAAACTGGCCGGAGGGAGGAAAATCCGAGAAGTTGATGCTAAACTACAGAGTTTCGTAGTTTGAGAGACATGTAACTAGCACAGCACAGATGAGAAAGCGAGTAAGTTTAGCAAATCAAACACGCAGAGCCACACGTCAGCACACACAAAGAAAAACTATAGACACGATTCAGGAAAAAACACCCCACTTTATTGGCTGCTTTCTGGTTGAAGGATGTTCGGTGAGGAGACAAGCAGCAAGACGATTCCGATCTCCTGAAAGACTATCGTGAACTCCGACGAAGACTCCGGAGCGCGGGCTGAGCCGCTTTCCCGCGCGGGCACAGCGCCTCATCTTCAGAAGTACTCCTTCAGCAAGTTTTAAAGTTCCTTCTTCCTTCCTCCGGCCGTTTCGGGCACTCTTTGTCGCCGGTATTTTAATCGGAGGGCACCGATTCCCCTCATCGGTAGCTCCATAGAGACTCCACAATGCCTCATTAAGAGCCACTTAATGACCCGCATTCTGCCCGCACAGGCTAAGGGGGGGGCAGGCTGCCGGGAAGGACTGCCCCAGGGCTGAGCGTCTGGAGGTCCCTGCAGGCACGGCAGGGCAAGAACCGACAGCGGGGGACTCCTGGGTCCCCTGCCTTTAGCAGGTGGCCCGCCCGGACTCCACAAGCGGGCCGGCCCCCTCAGGGCACCGAGAAGCGGGGCCCAGGGTGCCCGCGGGGCTCCGGGCGCTCGTTACCACCTGCCGGGGCGGGTTGCCGGGGTTCGAGCCCTTACCTGAGTTCCTGAGCTTGCGGTTCTTGAAGACCGAGACGACGACCAGCAGGTTGCCCAAGATGTCCACCACGGTGGTGAAGATCAGCACGCTGGAGAGCACCGTCACCACCCAGGCGGGCCGCGGGGCACCCGCCGCCGCCTCCCGCTCCGCCAAGCCGAAGCGGCTTCTCCCGCCCGGGTCGCAGCAGTTCCTCAGGGAGCCATTCTCCAGCATCGCCGACGCCCAGTCCCAGCGCCCCGGCGCTCTCCGCTCCGGCCGCTGCCCCCAGCCGCGGCTCGGCGACCCCGCTGACTGGCCGCGCGGGAGGGCGGGAAGGCTTTTAACGGCCGCGCCGGGCGCGCGGCCCCGCCCGCCGCCCGGCGGGGCTAGGGGCGGGGCTAACGCCCCCCCCTCCTTGAGGCGGTACGGGAAAGCCCGGGGGCGGGGCGAAGTGCCCGCCCCCGGCCCCGCCCCGGCGGGCGGTGGCTG